GATCTCAGGAACAACATCGGAGATCTCTGTCCAGAAGAGCGCAGTCCTGGGAACAGCTAAGATACTGCGCAGGACCCTCAAGCTCCCAGGCCTCTGGTAGAGGACCCGAGCTTGAAGGATTGACCGCCCACAGGGGCGAGTGGGGAATTTTTTTTTTTAATTTTTGGTCAGAGCAGTGAAGAGTGAGAGCAAAGCAGAGGGAGAGAGAGAAAGGGAAAGGCATGCGACAAAAGGCCACAGGTCAAACTTGAATCTAGGTCACCTGCTCATCCCAGTGAACTAAAATGGCACCCTTCTCACATAGTTTTTGACCGTTTGTATACTGTGTATGTACATCATCTAACCATAGGGTACATTTAAGTATGTACTAGATGGTCATATGTTGAGGGAGATTTTTCAATTTGTGTGCATTAAATGTACATTGTGTGTTTTTATTCCATAAGCAGCTAAACATAGCATCATAACCAGCAGTTTGCCATAAAGAAATAAAACTCAAGCTGGCTTTAAATTGGATATACTTTAATACAGGGGATCAAAAACAATGGCTCACTAAACATCTTTATTATATTTCACTACAGAAAGTAATTTAATCTCAAATGTAAAGGTTTATTTTGAAAAACTGAGTGGTGATGATCAGCACTCTCAACTGGTTTAGGATACATTCCAGTTCTGTTTGTAAAACCCAACAACTATGATCTGTTTACAACTTCTCCAAAAAAGTTACTGTAAAATCAATATTTTTGTCTTTTGAAATATCAGTTTGATTGTGATTGAAGAAGAAAATCATATTTTTATTATCTAAAAAGTTACATATCTTCTTAGTTTGAATTTACAAAAGGGAAAAACATTATGAACTCTTAACAGTCTGCTTTTTGAATAGCAGAGGTACAGTGGTGTCTAACACCACACTTTGGAAGGCAAATGTGTTATTCTTGACTAAATATTCTTTAACACATTGTAGATTTGATTTTTTTGGACACTCCCCCCCTTCTTTTCTCTTCAGATGTACAGAGTGCTGAGGAGCACAGGTGGTACTGTAGTAATGCCGGCAGAGGGTATGTCTTCAGATTGAGTAATCTATAATGTTTGACATGTTTTACATTTAAATATTAGTAATTCTGTTAGTTATACCTGGTACAAAATTCTGGACGTGTTGACCCATTGTGCTCCAAAAAAATATGTTATTGTTAGCTTAAGATTCTCTGCTCACATTGCAGGTTTTCTGTTTGATCTACTAAGGTAACATTTTTTTTTTAAATTATCTGTCAATTAAATACGCCATATTTGCATTGTATAGGAAAAAAATACAATGTGTGATACTTTCATTAGGCCTCCACAATTACACATATTGGTTAATTGGTTAAACATTCTGTAAGGAGAGACATTGAAAACAATGTTAACAACATATTGTAATTTTGTGTTTTAATTTGGATCAGGCAGGGAGAGTGGACTTCGGACAGAAATTGTGGAAGATATTTTAGAGGCAGTGTTTGAAAACAAGTTTCTTGTATGTTTGTTTACAACAAACAACAAATGACACGGTGGACCAACTGGCACCCATTTTAAGTTTCTTGTGACAGCACAAGTTATAAAATCAGAATTGTTCTAACAGCATTTTGAGTAGGAAAAGTTACTACTTAATCACCAGCTCAGCTGATCAACACATTGACATCTATCAGCAATTTCATGAGATGAAGTCATCAGTAGAAATTTGTTATATTCTCTAAATTTGTGATAAATTTCATAACGTTAGGGCACTGGTTTAGCTCACTACTTGACAAGATGACCATATCCCACATGGTTGAATGTAGTGGCCCAGGTTTGAGTCTGACCTCTGACCGTTCATCATTTAGAACACTAAGCAGTACTTTAGTATGGGCAGTATAGTACAATGTGTGTTACTTTCTTACCTTATTGGCTCTCTGTGTTAGGTTAGTGAAGGAAACAACACATTTTACTCAAGTGAGTGAATCAATATGCAATTAGTAAGTAGTTGCTGATGTCACAACATACTACTTATTTTCACAACATACTTACCTGTGAATCATAGAGGGCAATTTCTTGAAGTGAAAAGTCCTAATGGGAAGAAAATAATTATATATTTTGTGCAACTGCTGTTTGTAAATTAAGAATTTAGAGGAGTCTGTGGAAACATCCAGAATTGAGGCGCTGCTAGCAGCTAGGAATGGTATGTCTTCAGATAAAGTAGCGTGTTATCTGTATTTAATATTCATTACAGCTAATATCCTGCTCCAACAGCTCCACTTTTTGTGTATTTTAGAGGCCTCTTACATTTGGTGCTTCTGGCACGCTCATTTCAATTTACAAGAGGAAGAACTCTGAACTATGAAGAAATGGTGCAAGTGGCATCAGCGAAGTGCATGTCAGTTGTGGTCACATATGGCATGTGGTTTTAAAAAGAACATTTGTATTCATTCCCAGCATTAGACACCTTCAGCTGCACTTGTAATTATGAAGACACATAGCCTCCTCCAGCTCCCATTTACTTTAAGAAAATGTACTGCCAGGATGTGACTTTCCTAAATGTGTTCTCAAACTGTTGATACTTTGTTCTAAGTAGTTCTTAATTATGAAAGATAACATTCATTACAATGGGAAGTAAAATCTTGTCTGCACACCAACAGAAGCCTTGATAAAAGTGTGGTTTTGTGCAAACTGTGCAAAAAGGAGTTGGCATACCATCGAAGCACTTCAACTCTACGGTACCATCTAAATGCAAAAAACATGTTGCATCGAACACAGAAACTATGGGAGCGTTTAGCATTAGCAGTCCCAGTTCGAGTACCAATAAAAGGTGTTGGCAGCCCAAACTTGATGAAATATCGGACAAACTTACAAATTCTCTCGCAAAATGGATTGCTCTGACTGTAGACCACTATCAGTGGTAGAAGACAGGGGTTAAAAAATGTGCTAGGTGATCCAACTTTCCAACTGCTGTGCCGAAAGACTATTTCAAGTAAAATCAACAGGAGGGCAGGGGTGCGCCTCTGCCTGCATCTGTGAGAATTGCTTTCCCACTGTCAGGTGCAGCTTTGCCAGGGGAGGGTCGCAGCGACTGTGCCGACAACGTTGCTGACCCATGTTTGTCTGTTTCAGGGCAGTGCTACGAGGGAGGCCACATTTGCAGTAATCGAGGGCCCAAGTGTGGAGTGTGGCTGGACTGCGTGGCGACACGTCGTCAGGAAAAGACAGGTCCGTGATGGTAGCTTCCACCTTTGTTTTCTGGCTGGCGTGGTCCCCATCTCAGAAGAGGAGTTCCTCTCCTGGTTTTAAACATAAGGAACATTTGCCCAGTGAGGCTGGACAGTGGGATGACATTGTATTATTTTTTAGATAGTGTTTATTTATTTCTGCCGACAGGGTTTGTAGCATATTGAGAAAGTTGTTTTTATTGTATAAGGGTATTTTAAAATTGTATTTGTGTTCTGGTTTTTCTTCCTCCACTGGAATAAATATTGTGTCTAAGACCCGTTTAGTCTCTGTGCCCTGAGCGCTGATTCACTTGCTCCCCTCGTCCCTGTATGCGAAAGAACGTTCAGGTGGGATATTACATACCCCTCCTCTTTGTGGTGCTCATGTTCTCAATTCTCCACCCCAAGGCAGTCGGTT